GGCAGAGTTCAATTTAGTAATTACAGCTTTTCTATGTAAAGCTTCATTTCAACCAGCAATTGGAGATTACATATAGACCTATCATATTCCCCTTAAACTGTAGTTTACATGAGTCTATCCTGAATCTACTCGCCGCTCCCAATCACTCCTTGTCCGCCCAAGTTAATTGCATGAAGAATGAACAAAGAATAAAAAACGAATGTGAGAGAGAGGAATGCGATTTAAAAAGAGGAGGGAGAGGATGACGGGGAGGGAAGGGAAAGCACGAAAGAGAGAGAGAGAGAGAGAGAGAGAGAGAGAGAGAGAGAGAGAGAGAGAGAGAGAGAGAGAGAGAGAGAGAGAGAGAGAGAGAGAGAGAGAGAGAGAGAGAGGGTGTGGGGGGGGGGGAGCGTGAGTGAACGCTATATGGTAATGCACAAAATTTTAATTTCCTCACTAAATTAAGCATCAAACCATCACACACATGTAATGTGAGCCCCTTTCAAATAGCGCTTTGTGAGCCTAAAACATTTCTTTTCCCTATATTGCAAAAATGTATAAAAGTGGTTTCTGCTCCTCTCTCCCTTCTTCCAATCTTCCGTCTCTCCACCTGCCTCCTCCCTGCTACCTCCTCTCTCTCCCTGCCATTCTCTCTCACTCATCTTGGGTTCACAACAGGGAGCACCATTGAGAGGATCAGTGTCTACTTTGTTTACCTGCGTTCCGGAGTGTTTAACACCAGTAGCTACAGCCGCTAAACATCTCCCTAACATAACCCTACAGATGACTGACGGACCGTCAGCATCTTCCCTCATGATTGATGTAACGGTCCCATACTTATGTTGACGAATGGATGGCCCCATACTTCCGGAGACGGGTGAAAGGTGCCCCATACTTCCGGTGACGGATGCGGAGGGTCTCATACTTCCGGTGAGGGATGCGGAGGGTCTCATACTTCCGGTGACGGATGCGGAGGGTCTCATACTTCCGGTGACAAATGTAAGGTCCCATACTTCCGGTGACGGATGATAAGCCACAAAATTCCAACAGCTTGCAGGACCAGGTTATCACATAGAACTCCCTGAATCCTCTCCAGTTCTGCTTTAAATTCTTATCCCGACCCCTTCCAAGTGCTATATAGTCGCAATGGCGCTTGGCGCTTTTTATCGGATAGTTCTCTTGCCTTGAAGAAGGTTGGCATTTACTGACGTAAGCCCGACGAGGACTGAGCAAGATTCCAAGGATTCCGATTGTCGTCTCATTGCCAGCCATTACGAACATGTCGTTGTTGCATATGAGCGCTGGCGAGACCGGGGTGTGGTGGCGGGTGGATCTTGGCACAGAGAATGTTTTGATGTTAGTCTAGTCGGGGAAGGTGGCACGATACACTCTCCAGACAGATTTAGTACTTCCGCAGTATCACACACACACAAACCACAACAAACGTTCCTTAGACTAGTCGAAGGAAGGCAAGGGATTTATCAGGAGAAAGCGGCAAGTCATCATGACTATATAGTACTTGGAAGGAGTCAGGATAAGGTTTTGTTGGGAAGGAATGGTGCCCAACCACCACTTTGACGGTTGAGGATTGAACGCGGACCTGCATGAAGCGAGACCGTCGCTCTACCGTCCAACTAAAGTGGTTCGTAGCCAAAGGAGCCAACAAATTAAATTAAATTTTGCCATTATTGGGGAAGTATGAATACATTGCTCAAAGATAATATTTTGTATGTTTATACCTTATTTACCTGAGCGCCACTAACCCTAGTGGCCTCAACGGGGACAGGAAGCCGCCGGCTTGTCGAAGGTCCCCCCCCCCAACTCACCCATTTGCCTCGACGATCTTTTCCAAGTAGATTTTAAATGCCATTAAGTCTTGTTTTGCCTCATTACCAACTCTGAGGCCTAGTCCCAATAGAAGTTAACGTCATAGTAGAGGAAACTCGGCCCATTGGCCAGTACCGGAGCCCCACATAACGCCTCCCTCACCTCCTTTACCCGTGTATATTTTCTCGTGTATAAAAGAGTTTGTCCACCCTGTCAAATTCTTTGAGAGGGGGACCTGCTGCATGGGTAACAGCTTCTCCTTCATATCAACCTACCCAGGCTTTGCGCCCTGGAGAGGCCAATCCAGACCGACAACCAGAGCCCAACTTCATAGTCTCCCGAGACTGATGGATGCCTACTACTAGTACTATTTCCCCTTCACCATACCCACTAAACACCATATCTCAACTAAAGATGTTCCAGGAAGGTAGGTTTGTATTTTTATTGGATTTACATACCTATACACATTCTGTTAGATGGAGATAAATATGTATAAACATTCCACACTGGTTGATGAATAAGGCTGGTTTTCTTGCTGTATATTTTAGCTTTGTATGTAAGGATGCAAACTGTTTATTGATACGCGTGGTCCTCAGTGTAAACAGCTTTCTGCTGGCTGGGTGGTGTTGAGGCCAGCTGCAGACAACTCCACCCAGCTGCAGACAACTCCACCCAGCTGCTCTACTGCATCTCAATGCACTGCTGCAAAAACTGCTGCACAATGACAGCACCTTTCAAAGCTGGAGAAATTGCTGACCTGGAGAGCGTGCAGAGATCCTTTACTGCTAGAATCCACTCAGTAAAACATCTAAACTATTGGGACCGACTAAAGAGCCTAAAACTGTACTCCCTTGAGCGCAGGCGGGAGAGGTACATAATAATTTACACGTGGAAAATATTAGAGGGGCTGGTCCCAAACCTGCACACAGAAATAACATCACATGAGACCAGAAGACATGGCAGGATGTGCAGAATACCCCCGTTGAAAAACAGAGGTGCAACTGGTACTCTGAGAGAGAACTCTATCAACATCAGAGGTCCGAGACTGTTCAACACGCTTCCACTACACATAAGGGGCATAACTGGCCGACCCCTCACAGTGTTCAAGAGAGAACTGGATAAGCACCTCCAAAGGATACCTGATCAACCAGGCTGTGACTCATACGTCAGGCTGCGAGCAGCCGCGTCCAACAGCCTGGTTGATCAGTCCGGCAACCAGGAGGCCTGGTCGACGACCGGGCCGCGGGGACGCTAAGCCCCGGAAGCACCTCAAGGTAACCTCAAGGTATCTCCACCAAACCAAATTCTCATGGGAATTGGCAGGGTGGACAAAGACAAACTCTTTAGCACGGGTGGAACACGAACAAGGGGACACAGGTGGAAACTTAGTACCCAGATGAGCCACAGAGATATTAGAAAGAATTTTTTTCAGTGTCAGAGTAGTTAACAAATGGAATGTATCAAGGCTGACTCCATACACAGTTTCAAATGAAGATTTGATAGAGCCCAGTAGGCTCAAGAATCTGTACACCAGTTGATTGACGGTTGAGAGGCGGGACCAAAGAGCCAAAGCTCAACCCCCGCAAGCACAACTAGGCGAGTACAAGTAGGTGAGCACACACACACACACACACACTACCAGTGCTAACAACTTCCCTCATATCAACAGAGGCCAAACAGCTCCGAGTGCCACATTATAATCAAGTGACACTCACGGCCCAGTCACTCAGCTGCTCTAGTAACTCATCCGGACAGCCTCATCACTCGGCTGTTATGTCTGCCTATTCATTGAATGGGGATGGAAAAGGGGGTTGTGATGGGTGGAAAGTGGGGGAGGTTATGGTGGCTGGATTGAGTAAAAGGATAATAGTGACTGAGGAATGGATAAAAGAGGAATAGGAAAGGTGGAGAGGGGAAGAGAGAAGGGAAAATAGGCGTTGAATGAACTAAACTAAACTTTTGTATACTGTGGCCACTGTGTTCTCAAACTACGTACATATCTAAACTTCAAATGGCTAAGAAGCTCGATTGGAACCCATTCTCTTGATTTTGCAACTCCGCAAAAAAAAAAAATCCAACCTTTTAGTCTACCCAAAAACATACGAACCCAAGCAACCGACCTAATCAATCGAGTCAGATTCATTGAAAACGTAGATGTGCGAGCCGTAACTCATCTAAATCGGTTGCATTTGTAAAGTCGGCTATGATAACGTAAAGACGCGACCTATGTGTTATGAGGAGGACATGTATCACAGACGTACTTGAACCAGTAACTAATGGCAAGGTGTTTGTGCCTCATTGAATTCTCTATTTCACTTTCCTTGTCTCACTTTATAGAGCCCTTCGGCCTCACACGCGTGGGGTCCATTGTTCGAGTCACATAAGAGTCCAGGTTAATGAAATAGAGCCCCTCTTTCATCTCTACTTCTATATCTACTAGCAATTTGCTTTCGCCTCCCTTTTTCCCCACTATCTTTCTCCCCTCTGCTGGGTACTCCTTCCCTCGTAACTGTCCTCCCAAGCCTGGCGCCCGTCGCTGAAGGTAGCAACAGCTGATTACTAATAATATGAGCAGTGGGTGTGGACGGGCGGGGTTCCTGTGTGTGTGTGTGTGTGTGTGTGTGTGTGTGTGTGTGTACTCACCTATTTGTGTCTGCAGGATCGGACATTGGCTTTTGGATCCTGCCTTTCTTGTTTTACAGTTGTTTACAGCAATGACTTGTCCCATTTCCCTATCATACCTAGTTTTAAAATTATGAATAGAGTTTGCATCCACAACCTGCTCAAGTGTACTATATTTTCCCACTACTCTCACGCTAAAAGAAAACTTCTTAACATCTCTGACTCATCTGATGTCATCTCATGTGTACTCATCTAGATGTACTCGCCTAATTGTGCTTCCGGGGGTTGAGCTCTGGCTCTTTGGTCCCGCGTCTCAACTGCCAATTAACTGGTGTACAGATTTCTGAGCCTACTGGACTCAGGAATCCTCAGATCTAGGCCAATACACACTCACTGTCGATCGATGCTTCTGCCAAGTGCATACGATCATTCGATGTATTGATAAAATCTCCATATTTTAAAATAATTCGTCATATTTTGAGCTTGAAGTTTCAAGGTCCAAAATTACTTTTACATCGTAGTATAATACAGTTAGCCTCTCAATTAATTATTATTTCTTTTCTTTTCAGATGTTCATGTACTGAGAATGAGCCAACGTACCAAGATGAAATCCATTGCAAATTCCTGAAGGTAATCTTAAAAAAATAAATAAAAAATTCGAACGTTATCAACGAAGCTGTTTTAAAACTGCGTTTCTATAACAAAGATGAATTCGGCGCACATAGAGACAACAATTGTCTGTTTGGCATGTCTCTCCTTACTGTTCGCCGTCGTGTATGGAGAACAAAGGTTTGTTCAGGAGCCGGAGAACATGACGGCCAAGCATGGGGACAGCGTGACGTTGCCTTGCAAAGTAGCAGAGAGGAAAGGTACTGTACAGTGGACCAAAGATGGCTTCGGGCTAGGTACTGACGAGGATCTCCAGGGCTTTACCCGATACAGGATGGAGGTCGACGACAATCAGGGTGAGTTAATTTTAAACTATTTGCTATCATAACTCCTAATGTCAGTTAACAAAATTACCACATTAAACAATTTGTGAATCTGGATTAAACTTAATATTTCCAAATTAATGTACTTTGTTAAACTTAAAATTTAACATATACTAAGTGAATCGACAAAAAAAAAAAAAAAATCAAATATAGTTATCTGGTTAGATTGCATAAAATATATATTTTTAATTAACTATATATTTTTCACGCTCGGGATGGTTATAATGGCTCCTAATTAAAGCTCTCTGAACTCACCTCAGGGTATTCCTTAGCTTCTGTACATTACGAACTGTGTGTGGGTGGGTCTGGACCAGTCGCTCTCATATTCTACCTGCCCTGTCAACAATCTTTATATATATACATCTTACCTGTGTAAAACTCGTGGTATTCTGCAGGTGTGTACAACCTTCACATCCAGCCCGTGTTGGTGGAGGACGACGCAGTCTACCAGTGCCAGGTAGGCGGCGCCGAAGGAGAGAAGCACCTTAAGTCCGCCAGTGCTAAACTCACTGTACACTTCCCTCCCGTGGATTCAGATGATCAGGTAGGTCATCAGGCCAGAGGTTAACGTCGGGGCCTCTGTTGACGAGGACGGTCGGTTAATGTTTTTAAGTTCCAAGGTTGCTGGGTTCATTGTTAAAAGGTGTTTTATGTTCACAGGACGTGAGCGAAGTGTAGTTCAAGAAATGTTCGAACTTAATCAGTTGTGAAGCGTGTGTAAAGTGTTTCAAGTTATAAACAGGATTTGGAAATGGACTAACAAGCATTTGACAATTGTTTATACAGCTTTCTTCATCAACAAAATAAAAAAGAAATTACATGTAGCCGCCAAACCTATTTTGTCTATGAATGGAAAACGCTCTGCACACGACTCACAACTGATGACGTTCGAACATTTCTCGAACAGTGCTTCGCTGACGACTGTTGTTCGAATCACAACTCTGTAAATGCTTCATCCACCTACTACAAATACGAATAACTTTCAACAGAACCTAAACACCCAATGTAACCTACTCCTACATATGCAAGATACGCTAATAAATAATAATATTAATTTATATTTGAGAAAATTCATATTTTGAATGAACAGCCGCTGAATGGAATAGAGAGTAGCTAAGGACGGGTTGTATTTATGAAGACTGAACCAAGGACGAGCCATTGTCCTTAACTCGGTCTCCCTTATAAGGACTTAATTTTTGAGCTCAGAACTCGCACTAAGTCATGGTTTCCATTCACCATGGTTTTCCATTCATCATCCATGGTTCAACAGCTCCAAATACGAAGCTCAGTCTGATTATGATCGAAGCTATGACTCGAGACGGGCTTCATTCACTTTCAGCTCGTATATATCCCAATGAACACATGTTTAGCAAACTATGTTGATTCAGCGTTTATCGAGCATGTTTTCCCACTTGGAAAATATATCTACCCACAGAACGTTCATCCCAAATAACTATGTTCATGGTACTTTTGACGACCTAAATTTACCCTTAAATACTTTATGCAAAATAATTACTTAAATTTATTAAACAAAAATATATATCGTAAACAGTGTAACCTACTGGCTTTACTTTTAATATTTTATTATGCAAATCCACTTTTTTTTAAGAATTAAGCAAGAATCTTAGTGTGATTGTAAGTGAGCATGATTGTGTGCTTGTAAGTGAACCTGAGTGTGCTTGTAAGTGAACCTGAGAGTGTGCTTGTAAGTGAACCTGTGCATGTGCTTGTAAGTGAACCTGAGAGTGTGTTTGTAAGTGAACCTGTGCATGTGCTTGTAAGTGAACCTGAGTGTGTGCTTGTAAGTGAACCTGAGTGTGCTTGTAAGTGAACCTGTGCATGTGCTTGTAAGTGAACCTGAGAGTGTGTTTGTAAGTGAACCTGTGCATGTGCTTGTAAGTGAACCTGAGTGTGTGCTTGTAAGTGAACCTGAGTGTGCTTGTAAGTGAACCTGTGCATGTGCTTGTAAGTGAACCTGTGCATGTGCTTGTAAGTGAACCTGAAAGTGTGCTTGTAAGTGAACCTGAGTGTGTGCTTGTAAGTGAACCTGAGAGTGTGCTTGTAAGTGAACATGAGTGTGTGCTTGTAAGTGAACCTGAGTGTGTGCTTGTAAGTGAACCTGAGTGTGTGCTTGTAAGTGAACATGAGTGTGTGCTTGTAAGTGAACCTGAGTGTGTGCTTGTAAGTGAACCTGAGTGTGTGCTTGTAAGTGAACCTGAGTGTGTGCTTGTAAGTGAACCTGAGTGTGCTTGTAAGTGAACCTGAGAGTGTGCTTGTAAGTAAACCTGTACATGTAGTTGTAAGTGATCTTAAGCCTGTGCTAAGACCATTACTTATAACTTGAGTGATGTCATACCATCACTCAAGTGAAGAATGCTTACTTACATTTGTGCATTTAGATCCGTTTTCTTCCGAAATGATTATATTGACAACTTGATAGCAAAGTGTAACCAATTTAAGTATGAATAACTGCATATGTGGGTGTTCATGGATTTCTACATAGTCTCGTATTTATGCATGAGTAATTTGATGCATTTTCATTATTAAAAATAATTAATAATTGTATTTATGAGTGAATGGCCCATTCAAGTGTGAACCTTAACAGTCATCGCAGGTACTGTACTCATTGTATATTGTAGCCATTCATGGAGTTCACAGGATTATGAGACATACTTACCCGAAATGCTGTGTGTATTAATGGCTTTAGGTATTTTATGTACTAGCTCTATCTATAAATCCAACATTATGGTTGTAACTCATCTTCTATGTATGTACTTTTACCTGAATAAACATTTTGAATTTTCAATTTTTTTGAATACTAAAATTAATTGTGTTTGCAGGTGTACCTGGACAAGCTGTCACCCATGGACACGACAGCTGGCTCACCTGTCCGCATCACCTGCGAGGCTGGACTCAGCACACCTGCCGCTACGGTACGGACTGAGAGGGGATTCAAGAGAAGGCAGAAGAGAATAAAATTAGGAAAAACCGAGAGCGGGAAAAATAGAAGTTATTTAATCATTGATTTGAAAGTCATATGTATTTATATATAAAATATAGAACACCTAGTACATATAAAATTAGTTTCCAAACACCAACATGAGTGCAACAAAATAAAATTAGGTCTCAAACTAGACAATCTAAATTAAATTACGAGACAAGAATTAGCTCACACTTCTCATTGAGTTTGTATATGTACTTAAGGTTACATATGTAAAGGGTTTGTCTATAGGTATATTTTAGGAATTAGAATTAGAATTTATAGTTCATGTTTTTATGTAGCTGCATTGCTTTATACTTTATAATATGATCATGGGACAACCAGAAAGTAGTTGTGGTCTGTGTTATGAATCAAGCACTAAAATCATCACCGCCATTATTAACCACATAATTACCATGATCATTATCAGCAACATCATCATCATCATCATCACCACCACTATTTGCAGTATCATTATCATTTCTTTACTCTTCAGCATCATCCCCACAATAGTGAACATCACCCTAATCTCTGTTCCTTGCTTCTGGATTGTGTCAAGAGCAGATCAAGTGGCTGCTGAATGGAGCAGAGACCATCCCGGGGAGCAAGGTGAACACGACCAAGCAGAAGCAACAGGATAGCATCCTAGTGGCCGTCAAGAGCCGTCTGGACTTGACACCCGAGATGAATCACCATGAGGCCAATATCACCTGTCAGGTCTCCCACACGGCTCTTGACACACCCATCGTCAGGAACATTGTCATGACTGTCAAATACCCACCAAAGGTCAAGATCTCTGTCGACTCGGCTAAGATTAAAATGAATGATGATGTGAGTGATGGTGATTGAAATAAACACCAAAAATCTTAAATTTCTTTTTCTTTACATTTTATAATATCAGAGAATTCTAGAGTTGATACTGAAAGCCTCATCCAACCGGCTCACTCCCCAGCCTTGCTCACTTTTTTCCAAATCAATTTTGCCTTATTTCATATTTAGAAAATTCCTCTTTGTCCCATGGAACATTTATTTCAACACCAAAATAAATTTTTGACTAAGTACTAATTATACCAAAATTAAAATTATAATGAATATGAACATCCCCAAACTGCAATTACTCTGTCTTCCATTACCTCTACAGGTGCTGTTCACATGCGAGGCAGAGGGCAACCCACCTGAGCTAAGGTACAGATGGGAGGTGAACAACATTGGTGTAGTGGGCGACCACACCACCCACTACCTCATCAAGAGAATTCAGCAGGACAAAAATGGGGCGCGCATTGCCTGCCTCGTCTCCAACTCTATAGGCACCACTAAGGCTGAGCACACCATTAGTGTTGAATGTGAGTGAAAGAGATTACTCTATAGAAATTGGGGGAGGATTGGGGGATATGGTGAAGGGAAGGGAACTGTCAGGAGAAAGCATTCAACCTATTCACTGATTCTTTCACTGGGAAAGGATCAGGATAAGGATTTGGGATGGTACAAGGGAAAGGAATGCTGTCCAACCACTTAGACAGATGGGAATTGAACACCGACCTGCATGAAGTGAGACCATTGCTCTACCGCCCAGCCCAAGTGGTTGTGCAAGAATTGGGGGAAGAGGTGAGTATGTTTGAGTGTGCTGTAATATTCATTAAGTGTTTGTGCACATAAGAGATGGGAAGATAGAAGGGTGTATATGGCAAGATGGGCAATCTTTTGAAGATGAGTGTTACACTTGTTGAAAGTAAAATAATATTGTGAACCATGACTGCAAATTAGATAGAGAGAAAAAATGAGAAAGAAAGAAAGAAACAAGAAACAGATGAGGAAGGGGCAGAAGAAGTGAAGGGGTAAGCAAAGGAAGGAACAAGAGGAACGAAGGAGAGAGAGAGAGAGAGAGAGAGAGAGAGAGAGAGAGAGAGAGAGAGAGAGAGAGAGAGAGAGAGAGAGAGAGAGAGAGAGAGAGAGAGAGAGAGAGAGAGAGAGAGACAGCAGTAGGAAAAGAAAACAAAGTTAGAGATAATCATTAAAAATACAATATAAAATGAACCCACCATTACAAAAACTAACTAACAAATATTATCATGCCTCACTGCCCATTCATCACCCAGTGGTCCAGCATCACCTCTCCTCTTTGCTTTCTCAGATGCTCCCACATTCCAGAAGGATCCAGTAGATGTGGATGAGGATGAGGGAAAATCTGTCACTCTTACTTGTAATGTTGATGGGAATCCTCCTCCCGAGATTGTCTGGCTATACGAGGCTGAGAAGAAGGTAAGAGACATGATGTAACGAGTGTTGGAGTTTGACTGTTTATCTTGTAACGTAAAGCGAATACAGAATTTGCAGTTAATTTTAAGACTTGCCTGAAATGCTGTGTGTTAAACTGCCCGAAACGCTATGCGTGTTAGTGGCTTTGCAAGAATGTAATTATACCAAGATTATGTAATCTCACAAACTAATTGTACCTTCTTTTAAATAAATACATAAACAAATAAATACATAAATAAATACATACATAAATGAATACATAAATAAATATATACATAAATAAATATATACATAAATAAATAAATACATAAATAAATCTATTAGTGGTTTGTAAAGAATTTTTCAGTTAATCAACAAAACTTATAATAATATAATCCATTATACCTTCTTATATATAATATTATATATATATTATATATAATATACTGTATATACTATATATATAATATTATATGTAATATTATATATATATAATATATATAGAATACTATATATATTTCACCGGAGCCACCCCCACCCCCACAACCACTGCAACATCCTTATAACTACTGAAATCACTACTACAACAGAATATGTCATAAGCACCAAACCTGCAGCAATCAGTACAATCACCACTCCCATAACTACTTATAGCCACTACAGATTCAACAACTAATTACCCAATGCTCATTACATTCACTCTGCTCATTATATCCACCTGTGCTCACTACCTGTACAGTACTTATTACACTCCTCTAAGTTATTAAAATGTCTGTACTTGTTTTGCAAACACATCTGTATACCAAGATATACTAACCTGGAGATATATTTCTTGATCATTCTCCCATAATTGGAACATATATAGTTTTAAATAAAATTGTATATTTACTTTAATTTTACAACAAAATATCCATACAGTAACTATGCTTCTCCCATATATCAGGTCATTAAACTTGGAGCCAAGCTGACACTAACCGTGAGTCCAGAAACAGTGGGCACTTATCACTGTCGAGCGGCTGTCACTGGCTTTCCAGAGGTAAGTCCTAACTCTTTATGTGGTCTATGATGTCTTATATTAAACAGTGATGAGATCAATCAGTCATTTCATCCTTTAGGCGATACAGTACTCGAGTTCTCACGTGACTCATCGAGTAACTTTTATCTTATTTGATTCTGCAACCTTGGACAGGCAGACAGACAAACAGACAGACACATTCTCTCTTATAGATATAGACAGATTAGGTGATCTATGTCCCATTATGCAATCTTTCAAGTAAACAACAAATTAATTTTCTCCCGCATTCTCCTTTCCTCTTCATTGCTTGTGTGGGAGGTGCACGCAGTTAACGCAACTGCTGTGGGTTTGCAGCCTGGGGAAGGTCTGTAGTTTGACTTGGAACTGTAGTTTATTCCAATAAACAACTCAATACAAGCATAAATGAACAAATCCACAGGAGCCTTGATGAGAGCTCGAACCTATGTGCCGAGTGTTTCAAGACGCGTTCTGGTCGACTGCACCACAACAACCCTCATCAAGGCTCCTGTGAATTTGTTCGTTGATACTATATCACATTAATGTAATTTCTCTGTGTATACAAGCATAAAATATATGTATATATATATAAACATTGTCAGGGACAGGAAGCCTGTGTAATGAGAAATACACTAATTATTATACAGTACATAATATGTTCTTTCAATAACCTGTATATTTCTCTGCATATTGCAGGAGTCAAGGTCTATGAGAGTGTTCATGCGAGGTGCCCCTCAAGTGACACCCACTGAGGAGCAGTTTGGTCTGGAGGGTGACACTGTGCAGGTTGAGTGTGACATTCAGTCCATCCCAAGGCCCAGCGAGGTAGTCTGGTTTAAAAGCAGGCACAAGATTGATCCTAGTAAGTGCTTGGAGATTGGGTGGGAAGGAATATGATGGTATTCACAGAGAGAGAGGGGGAGAGAGAGAGAGAGAGAGAAAGACAGAGTTTTTTTTTAACTTTAAGGTTAGAAATATTAAAGCACTGCAGTACCATTGATCAGAATATTTATATTTTCATACAGTATTGCATTACCACTTGCTATGCTTTACTGTTATTTAAATAACCTAAATTACAAAATGCTCAATCCTTCCCAAGTCTGGTCTGTAGTACAGTGGTCTTTGTCCTCAAATCACATTCAAGAATCCCAGGTTTGATTCCCGGGTGGGACAAAGAAGGTTGGGCACATTTCTTTTTACCTGATGCCTCTACTCACCTAGAAGTAAAAAGGTACCCAAGTTACATCCTGGGGAAGATCAGTAGGTGGACCTTAATAAGCCTAAGCATAGGCTTCCTGTTCCCAACAAAGGGAATTATAATTACCTCTATATTCTCTTTTTATTAGTAGCTACGAATAATAAATTTGAATAATAGATTACGAATAATATATTCTTTATAGGCAAAATGTCAACTTCAATAAAGGCCAATCTGAAACCCGCTAAAGTACTGTGTGTAGTGCCTCACTTTGCATTTACTTCCTTCTAGGCTATCTAAAAATCCAACATTATGTTTGTAATTCATTTTGAATGTATGTACTTTTACCTGAATAAACATTACAGTATTATTATTATTATTATTAATATTATTATATTATTATACTTCTGTATTGTACATGACATTATTGACTTATCTCTCAATATTTCACCTAAGATATCTGTGGCTGGGTTCTACAATAACAAAATACCCCAGATCCATAATTACTCAACATAAATGATCATACAGCCAATAGAGAGTTCACACCCACACAGAATGCAGGAACCTATTTAAATTCTTTAAAATATGTGATATGAAAGAATTACACACGTTCTCAAGTGCACTCTATATTTTCAAAACCCTAAACTACAGTACAAATCCTTACCTTAAATTCTTCTTTGATGGCTGCAACAAAATCTACAGACACCAAATAAACTATTTGATATTTTAAGAGTATAACTAATCCAAAACAGAAATTCCATACAAATTAAAAGTTCTAAATTGTGGAATAAAGTGTTTTACATCTTTTAACCAATTAAACAATGATGCAAAGAAGTACCAAATAGACATTATATAGTATTTATATATCTACTATACCCTGTAGCATAATTCCTGCATAGTTCTTCTGCCTAATAAAGCCATTTTTTTTGCTGTTATTGTAATATTGTACTACTGTACTACTGTACTATTATAATTTTACTATAAAGCTATAGAATCTAAAATATAGCTGCATCTGTTTTCATTAAATATCACTTTATGAAACTGTATATCATTTGCGAAATTTCTAATAAACATATACTGTATGTTTATACACAGTATGTGTTAACTTGCATCTCATATTATCAAGTATTATACCTGAATTTATTATCAAAACACACGTTAATCTTAAGGTATGCCTAAAATGCTGAGTGTGGTTAGTAGCTTTATACAAAATACAAATACCTGTTTATGTAATTACCATAATCAGAGACCCCCTGTAATTTTTTTATAAATAAAATATAAAATTATTATTAACTATTATTATTACAGTATTACTATATTATATGCACTTTTTCTTAATTCTTTCTTGTCTGTACTTCAACAAACAATGCTTCAACTCTTCCCACAGATGAGTCGAGGTATAATATTCTGCAGGAGACAACACCAGGTGGTGTGAAAAACACCCTGGTAATCCACGATGCCCAGCCGGAGGACTTCGGCTTCTACAATTGCACCGCTAAGAATGGCTACGGATCGCACACTTCCGAAATACACCTCAAAAGACAACGTAAGCTTTAAATAGACAACAGCTTTTTCACACACAGGGTTATATTCAAATAGAACCATCTACTCGTCGAAGCAGCAAATGCCAAAACTCTAATAAATTTTAAAATCCAACTGGAAATGATCAAGGCAAATGGGGGGGGGGGACCTTTAACAAGCTGCCGGCTTCCTGTCCTTGTTGAAACCACTAGCGTTAGTGGCCCTCGGGTATATACAGGTAAATTCTGGTAAGTTACTCATTGCAGCACAGTTATTGTTTCAGTTTCTTCAAATGTGCTTGATGAAAACCCAGACAAATTTTTCAGTGCCCTGAATTCAAATGAAGGAAGTCTATTTTATCGGGTATTCTCAGTAGTGATACCTTATTGTTATCATATGACAAATTTTTTATAATAACTTGAAAACATCCTTTGTATATTGCCTAGGAACATTCAACACTTTTTTTTTTTTTTTTTTTTGAGATATATACAAGAGTTGTTACATTCTTGTACAGCCACTAGTACGCGTAGCGTTTCGGGCAAGTCCTTAATCCTATGGTCCCTGGAATACGATCCCCTGCCGCGAAGAATCGTTTTTTCATCCAAGTACACATTTTACTGTTGCGTTAAACAGAGGCTACAGTTAAGGAATAGCGCCCAGTAAATCCTCCCCGGCCAGGATATGAACCCATGACATAGCGCTCGCGGAACGCCAGGCGAGTGTCTTACCACTACACCACGGAGACTGCTCATACTTATGTATGAGAGTACTGTACACTTGTATATATAATATTTATTTATTATATATATGTATAGCACTGTATATTTATTTTTCTATTTATCTATGCATATGCACTAAACCTCTCAAATACACCCCACAGTGTGCCAATTGGACAAGGAAATGGCCATTAAAATAGCCTTCAGAGGTCAGTCTAGCAGAGGCAGCAATTTGCCGGCATTCTGCTTAGCACCGCTATCTGTTTCTGCTATCCTTCCTTGTTAGAGCAGTGAAAATGTACCTCAGACCAGAGTTCATTAATCAGTAGTTTGTGCATATTTCTTTGAAACAGTGAGTGTGACTAGAAAAAGCAAGGGTCATGTCACAGCATTACTTATTAATATGTATGGTAGAAAATAATTATGGAAATTGCAGCCTCTTATGGTAAAGTAATCAGGACAGTCTTGAAAGCCAGTGCCCTCTGCATTAATATTTACTAAGGAGTTTTTTGTATCTGTACATTTAGTAGCTATATGAATATGACATTAAAGTAAACACTAAGGTTGGTTATCTATGAACTACACACATTAGTCCACAGTGCATTGTAATACAGTAAGTAGGAATAGCTTCAGAACAGATCTTGCCAAATATATTTTTACATTTGGTAGATGTGCAGTACCTCTATCACTTTACTATTTCAGCCTTGAACAGACTCTCATCTGTGAAGGCATTATTGCCTTGATCCCGAGTTGTAAACTATCGAGCCCATGTATCCTCCTACCAAGAGGAGTACTAACATCATAACAGAGCTAACCACTCCTATTTTCCCCATAGTCGGCTAACTTATCTGCATATTCTCCATAGAATAATAACCACTTTAGTATTCCAATATAAAACTAGACATCCCCATGTTTCTTATAGCGAGGTATTCACATCCGGTAAAGAGAGCTATCCACCTACCCACTCACTCTCAGTATAAAGATGTAACCAGTGCACATCCAAGTGTTAACAGCTTCATGTCTTCCTACAGAGAGTCTGCCTCTTGTGACGACTTTGGTAGCCATCATTGGCGGCATCGTCTTCCTCATTGTAGTTGTGGTTGTCATTGCCCTTTTCAAGAAGAAGGGCAAGAGCTACAAAGGTAGGTGCATGTGGTGCTTCAATGGAGAATAACTTAGAGCTTACTGTTATTTAGTTAGGATTATTTAAGGATATTTTGACAAAAACTTTGCCCTATCCTATTTTTTACAGGAATCTCACATGACCACTTGCAGGTTTTATTAGATGCATTCTTAATATTTATTAAGATTATTGCTTGGTTTGAAAATTGAGTGAACTACCTGTAAAATATTGATATAGGATCATGCACAAAAATTGCTTTTTACTTTATATATATTCTCAAACTAGCAAATACAATAAGCAAACACCTGTAGTGCTGCAAAAGTAAATGTATAAAGAATTTTTATAAGGAAGCCTAGAGATAACAAGGATTTGTTTTTGAAATTAGGCAGGAACAAACTTCCCGAGGACTGGCTGTTGTATTATCTTTGGTTTTACATGTGTACTCATGTTCTCAGCAATTTATTACGAATTATGTTGATGAAATCCTTGTAAACTACAAACTGCAAACCTGGCAGACACTTGGAACTACTGCATTACACACAGAAATCACAATTGCGTGATGCATCAAATGAACAAAACCATGTCTCCTTTTGACCATGTCATAGCTCAGTCTATTAAGGCAGTGTCTGGGATGCTCTCGGACGCAGGTTCGAATCCTCGTCACGGCCCTTGTAGATTTGTTCATTGGAACTACTACAATTATTGTATTATTAATTATACCACCACTGCACCACACTCACTATCATTCTCCATGTATACCACTGCTCCATCATTCTGCTTAGCCTTATCCATGTATTCAACCACTTCATCAATCTGTCTACCTTTTCTCCATGTATACTACTACCCTATCATTCTGCATACCCTTCAGTACTCGTATTACAACTCTGCTCATGGCTTTTACAGACCCCGGCCTGGAGAAACACAGCATGCGTTCCAGCGACAGGTCATCAACTCACGACTCTGTGCTCAAGGTTGAAACCCGAACAGCAACAGGGAGTGACCTCTCTCCTTCTGAAGATGATGACTACAGCTCCCATGATGACTGGGATGCCTCCGATACAGCCATTCCCAATAGCAGGCAACTTCAAGACCATTTAAGATACTCGGCTGGGGACTTCAATGATCCAATGTTTCCATTAAAGGTTGGTTGTTGTGAGGAGAAACAGAGGGAATGGGAGAGGGAGAAGCTGTAGAAATTGGAATGAAAGAGCAAGTAGTACTGGGAGTGGGAGAGAGAGTAGGAATGGGAGAGGGAGAAGGAATGGGAGACTTAGTATTGATATATTTTTACTGTATTTTGAATTAAAACTAACAGTTTGTCTTCACTTGCAGATTAAATTTGATCAACTAATTATCAGCTATATAATTGTTTGAGATTGTAGGAGTACTGGTACAGAATTCAGAATGCAAAATAGGGAAGTTAAATGCAGGATTCTGTACTTACTAAAGTTATTAATTCTACATAGATAAAAAATTTTCTTTTTCTTTACAAAGCAGGAGAGCCCAAACAACAACAGTGGTGGATATGTACAGTATGTGGATTACTCACGGGACTACAACCCTCCACCTCCTCCACCCATTAACTACAACCGCAACTCTATCTATTCCACTGGGCCCCCGCTGAACAATGTGGACCCCCGATACTCTGCCGTCTATGGCAATCCCTATCTGAGAGCCCCACCCAGTGCCAGAGGTCCCCAGAATATGTATGGGAGTGCCGGAGGCATCGAGTACAGCACCTTACAACCTGGGGGAGGCACTGCCCATGTTGGTGACCCGGGGATTGCTCCTCAGAACATTTATGCTGGAGGAGCACCACAAAATCTTAACAACAACAACAACCTTAACAACATGACAGCCAACAACAGTAGTGCCACGTATGGGCATGTTGGCCAGGGCCGCAATAACCTGAGGTCTAGTACCAACATGAACAACCAGTACATTATGGTGCCACAAGCTGACTCAAGACATGTCCATGGCACACATATCTGAGACATCAATTTAAATTCTTTAATTTGGGAGAGTTTTATATTTTTCTCCAGATAGAATTCAGGCAGTACTGAAAAGACAGGCACAGAGAACCTTAAATTCTGAGTCTGTGGTAACTGCTATGATTTATCTCCGAAGAGCAGTTTTCAAAAAGCACTTCAATGGATTGCCATATTCAGTAACTCGATGGTGGAATCTATAGTGTGATCCATTAAGCTGTTTTAGAAGGACCTTAGAGAAAGTAAATTATATAAATATAGTACTTACTTGCCCTTCAATGTGTAAACAGAATTGCTCAAATAAAACTGGCTAGCCACTGAGCTATCAAGCATTGTTCTTGAGTTAGATAATTCGAGGCAAAAGCTGCTGGTGCCTCACTCACCAAAGTCTGTGTGAACCAAAGATATTATGCGTGTGTGTGTGTGTGTATATGTGAGTGTGTATGTGTAGGTGTGTAGCAGTCCACTTTACTGTTACAGAGCTGGTGTTTAATATGCCATACAATAAGAATTGAGTGGGATTCTTTATGTTCTTCAGAATCATGACACAGGAAGACCTCCCTGGCACTTATGGTTCCTAGTAATACTGTACTCGTAATAACTTGTTTAGATGCCACTTACAAAAAATTACTGGAAGTGACACTGTTACCTAAAGAATATTACTGCTAAGGGGCATTAGTCAAATCTCTCAATTCAATCAAATATTTTATATGTGTACTGAATTCTCTTTGGTTATGTTTGACAGTTACAAGCTTTTTGAGATTTGAGTTTTCAAGCTGTTTAACAGCAAAACACATTATGCACTGGGACAGTCATTCCTGAAAAAATGAGCATATATATATACTTGCCAATTATATTTTTAGGCTTTTTGATGCTAATTAAGGATTTTTACATTATGTCTGAATGGTCACTCATGCTGGCATGTGGATTTTTGCCTTCTTATTTCATTAACAAAATCACCCAGTTTCTGTTATATGATTTTGTGAATTTATAAAATTTATTAATATTAGACGAAGCAAACTGAAGATTTTCTACTAAAATGAATGAAAAACAGACATTGAAAAGTAAAGCAAATGTCTTATATATACTAAGAATATTGTTAATAACAAAATATGGCAATTTTGGAACGGCAGATATTACAAAACATTCTACGTTGGTTCAGAGAATAAAATCTCTTGCAGTAAAATAAAACTTTTGTATATATAGTATTTCATAAAATATTTATGAGTGATTCCACCATTAATAGTGAGTCTGGATACACACAAATGGCTCCAGGTTGTATATAATTAAAAAATAATAATTTTTCCAATGTAATTAACTTCTTCCCATTCTCATATCCATTTCCAAGGCTTATACATTATTTAAGATAGTGTACAGTGATGATAATTCCTTTGACGATTACATTACTGATAATATATTGTGATGATAAATACATTATTGATATTTATAATAGGGCTTTTGTATATTTTTTCTTTATATATATATATATATATATGTGTCTGTATTTTTGTCTTTCCTGCACTGTGGTCTCGCGTCTGTACATTGTGGATTAAGGAAACATAATGAATGATATTTTGCTCTGGAATGCATGCAAGCCGATACTCATAAGTTATAAAATGTATCATGGACTAGTCATTATGAAATACTGTATAAATGTTATTTTAAAATCTACAATTTATATTGTATTTTCTAAGTGAACAATAATTCAAAAAATTAATATTTCAAATAATGAATATAAAATTAATATTTTCAATAAAATGAAAAAATGAATATGGGCATTCTGGCGAGACTGACGATAATTTTGTTTGTACCATTTTTTATTGAACCATTGTAAACAATAAAAAAGTTTTTCTCATGATCTTTAGTAAAGTTGTAAATAAACAATTGTAAAGAAGATTTTTCCTCTTGCTTCACTAATGTTCCAGTGAGGCCAGTATATATAGTCTTGTTACATGTTTTATGTGTCTCATTACATTTTGTAAATAAAGTGTAAAAGTTACAACTGGTTTAATACATGTACCTTGATTGGTGTTATTTCTTGCCTCTGCACATTTATATGTATTGAATAGTTTATTGTATGGACTACTGGAGGACCAGAGACAGAATCTGGCTCCTCACCTCCCTCACAAAGGCAGAGAGAGCATGGGATTTTTATGATCACCCTCACTGAGAAAACATTCAGAAAGTCAGTGAAGCAATACAGACAACTGCAAAGTTCAGAAAAAATTAAGTACTGAACTAGCCGAAGTGTGCAAAAGGATTCACTTAGATACTAGGTTGAGTCCTCAACAGGTGCCAGCACCACCGAAAACTCCTGGCCGATAATGCCATCGTGGTCTAAGTATGGAGCTGAAAGACCAAGAACTGACGCACCTGGTAGGGGAAGGAATCAGAATAAAATTAAAAAAATAAAAAAAGATTTGAAAATTTATCTATTCTAGACAACAGAATAGAAGTTAAACACAGGACTTACACACTCAGGCATTTGCACAGCAACACATATTGCTGTACCAGCATTCCTGTCTTCTTCAGTGGCATCTAAGAACCTGGTGAAGGAAATCTGACCAGATTACCTAGGTCAACAGGCAGGGGTACACAATCCCATGTTTATACACTGCACTACCAAATGGGGGTGGTGCAGTGTATAAAACCACCTTCTACAGGTCACAAGCAATCCAGCTGGGATGGCCCCATTGTAGACCAAGCAGCTGCAACAAGCCTAGGAGCTTCAACAACTTTACGTGACACTGTTCGACTTAAGAGCTGTAGCAGCTCCCCATGCAAGTGAATTCTTATTAGCAACCCCCAATGTTAACAACTAGCCTGCGTCTCACACTGCAGGCTCTCCGAATAGCCATGGTGAGGTGTACAACTAGGCAGGTACACTACTGCAAGGCCTGATTTGCCTAACTGGCCGAGTTTTTCCGCAATTATATATTTTTCTAAAAAAAAATGTAAGGGTATGATAAAACTTTCCATTATATTTATAATATATAGGATTTTATAATTTTTATTTGAGTTAAAACGAAAATAGAAATATGACCAAACATAACCAAAGTCAATAATTCATGTTCTTAATGTAATATAATATTGATTCAAATAAACCAATTTGAATTTTCCTAAATAACGAAAAGCACTGCCTATTAGACAAATCAGGCCTTGCATACTAGGTCAAGTAGTGCATTCTGGCCATTAGGTACGATAATACATAGTATTTAAATTATTATTTGGAATAATCACAATGAAAAATAACAGATTGCGGAAAGCATTTTTGGTTCAAGTTCAAGCCATCGGAGTAGAACAGAGTACGTAATATAATAATACTTATATTGAATTTTGTAACTAGCTCATCAAGATTGTAACTTGCTTAGCTAAATGAATTGTGGGGTTCAGTCCCTGAGCCCATTATGTGCCTCTGTAACCCTTTCCACTACCGCCCACAAGATGGGTATGGGGTGCATAATAAATGAACTAAACTAACTAAACGATTAGCTACAATGGGTTAGTGACATTACATAAGATTGATATTTTATACATTCTTGCAAAACCAATAACACTCATCGCATTTCAGGCAGGTCCTTAATCTAACACATAAAAGTATTTGTGTACGTCTGGTACCATATTACTTGTGTAAAGGAGGAAATGTAGATGTTTATCTCTCAGAATGATTGGTAATATGTTTATTGTTTGTGATGTGTTTATATGTATGTATTAACACGATGTACTGAACAGGGTGAGAATAGCTTGAACTACCTCATCCCTTTGTGTGTATTTTACCTCAATAAACTTATTTCAATTTCAATTAATCTAACATATCAGGTAAGATGAAAAGGTATATCGTAGCAAAGTTTTATTTCAACATATAACTGCAATATAAATTGACAAAGGTGATTACACAAGTGAAGATATGTCTTAAGCACTAATATTGGGGAAATGGGTAGTACAAGATACAGTGCGAGTTTGAAGCACATGGTAGGAAACATATTATAGTTTTATTACCCCGTACAAACTATACAATGATACAGTCTTCCCTATCGAAGAAGACAAGAGGCTTCAAAGCTTTCACTTAAAAAAAAAAATCAAAGGAAAAACTATGTCTTGTCCATCATGCTCTATATATCTTTTTCCCTCTCTCCTCATTTCCCTAAACACACCGAAACATGTTGCTGACACCCCAATCACATTTCCGTCCCAGTTTGGCGGCAGACCAGCAGCCAGGAGAAGCAATCCGGACAACATTTTTATTAAAACTTTTCAATGCCAACCGCAGGAAGAAACTCACCTGAGGGTTTTAAGGTGAGTGAAATCCCCAAGTCGTTCCCAGACGTCGTGTTCCACCAGAAGATTGGGAAATGTCTACTGGACGTTGGGGGGGGGGGGGGGGAGGGAGGAGGGAGGAGAGAGAGGGAGAGAGAGAGAGAAAGAGACGAAGAGAGAGAGAGAGAGAAAGAGACGAAGAGAGAGAAAAAGACGAAGAGAGAGAGAGAAAGAGACGAAGAGAAAGAGAGAGAGAAAGAGAGAGAGAAAGAGACGAAGAGAGAGAGAGAGAGAGAGAGAGAGAGAGAGAGAGAGAGAGAGAGAGAGAAAGAGACGAAGAGAGAGAGAGAGAAAGAGACGAAGAGAAAGAGAGAGAGAGAGAGAGAAAGAGAGAGAGAAAGAGACGAAGAGAGAGAGAGAGAGAGAGAGAAAAGAGACGAAGAGAGAGAGAGAAAGAGACGAAGAGAAAGAGAGAGAGAAAGACAGAAAGAGAGAGAGAAAGAGACGGAGAGAGAGAGAGAGAAAGAGACGAAGAGAAAGAGAGAGAGAAAGAGAGAGAGAGAGAGTGAGAAAGAGAAAAAGAGAGAAAGAGAGCGCGCACGTATTTACAAAGAGTATCATGGAAGATTATGATCCGTATTTACAAAGATTAATATGGCGTGTAAAACACTAGATGTAAAACAGTAAACAAATACTCAGCAAACAGTTACGAAAAATACAAGACATGTGAGAATAACAATATATATTCCAAGTAATAAATGGTTCCAGTCTAAAACAACAATCAGTCACAAGGAAAAAGCATTACTGTAATTAAAAAGACAACGTTATTCTTCTCTTGAGACTATTTTCAAAACGCAAATGTCTAGGCAAGTTTCAAACTCAAATGTTTAGGTATTGTATGCACTAGCTCTATCTATAAATCCAGCATTATGTTTGTAAATCATCTATGTATGTACTTTTCCTGAATTTGAATTTGAATTTGATAAATATCCGTGTTTAACCGGCCGGGAATTTGAACCACTTTACCCTAAGAACGGACCGTTGGACGAAATGTTGCCATTCTTCCATTTATTATTCCGGGATATGACATTCTTTGAAATGAAATTACTCTTCCTCAAGATATGTTAACTGGGGGTGTACTGGTTGCATAACTCTTATAATCAGTATGCAAATTAACAGAGCTACAACTTGCAAAACAGGACTTGCAGTTTAAATTATAGAACTCCTTAATATAACAGTCCATATGTCTATAACTCATTCCATTAGAATAACACGTGCAAATATGAAATTTCAACAAGCAGTACAACTAAAGACGACTCAACAACTAGTTTTTTTTTATTAAATGAATCATCTTCTAATAATTAATTTGCAAATGTCTAACAATGTTCAAGGAAGCACCTCTCAACATATACCTAAGATAAATTTGCACATCAAATTCTATTGCAAGAATTAGCAACATAAAACAACAAACATCCCAAAACATGCAATGGTATGTAATGTAAATATCTCATCTCTTAAGTTCTGGACATAAGAGTAGGTAAATCAGCTTGTTATAAGTAGGCTTGCAGCCTATTCATAACAACCTAACGAGTCGTCTGGGTTTTGTCTCATCAAAATTTGTGGATGGAGTGTGCAGCCATACTGCCTAGTTTTTTTCCTTTCACTACTTGACTGCCTAGTTCCTTCTGTAACTTGAGGACAAGTCTTACGCAAGATACTGTCAAAGGCCTCCGAGTCCAAAAAACTTGCTGTTTGTCAACTTTTCTGTCCTATCTCATCGCTAACACCCTGCTAGTTAGTCTGTCAGATTTCTGGGATAGGCTTTGCCCTCGAACTCTTCCAAGTGTTTCATTACAAAAGCCTATTTCTCTAGAGGTTCCACTGTTATCTTTCATCCTTCATATGCACGATCTTGCAAGGTGTGCTTAAAGAGACACTGACCGTATAAGTACCTGCCTCATGTCTGTCCCCATGTATTGAATATCGATGCAATATTGCTCGTTCTCCGCCTTCCTGCTGGTTCCCTTGTATCCAGTGACGAACATGCTTGTGAGTGGTTACTATAGATGCTTCAAGTGCCATTTTAATAAGCGATTCTCTTAGTCGGTGTCATTTGTTTAGAAAGTTCCTTTTCCCCCGTTAGACAACATCCCTTGTCTTGATGTTTTAAGTGCTTATGGAAAAGTGCTTGTTGGATATGCTTGTAGAAGTGTTTCGATGGAAGTTTCCTTGTTGAAATATGATAATGGGATTTGAACTTCTGAGGGTATGTTCTTGTAATTGTTGAAAAAAGTGTGCTTGTGGGTGAGTGTGCCATGCGAATGCTCATACGAGTGTGTGTAGGAAAGTATTGGTGGGAATGTTTCAACAGGAGTGAACTCTTGGCCCATTTCTTCGCTTTTATTTATTTTTACTCAATATTGCGTTTGGCAGTTTAATAATTTCCTCTTTTCATCATCGATCGTACTTCTCTCTTTCAGCTTTGTTACTTCATTATTGTCCTCTCTCATTTTAACTAATTTCTTTCATTCATTATTTTGAATTCTTTTCTCTATCTCCTGTCTTGTTCTCTGTTCCTCGTTTATATTATCTTTCTTCCTTGTATTCCTTGTACCTCGAGGCTTCCAGTTCTAGCATACCATTTCACGAAGGAAAACACAGGAAGCCTCGCATATTAAATGCTATTTATTTAGCTCCCACCACAAGACGAATGCATTTGATAAGATTACCATATTCTAATAT